TATTTCTGGGGAAACTTTTTCAAAGGAAAACACAGCCATGCATGTCTCTTTGCTGATCGGTCTCGGTGAATCAGCAGCATCCACAACTGAATGGAACAAAAAGTGTTGAACTTGAAAATTGTTTATGCGCGAGTGCACTTGCTAAATGAAGGCGGATTGTACAAAATGGATAAAAAAAATAAAAAATACCGTTACGCGAGGGAGAGACGAGGCAGCGCAGATCGCACGTATCATAAGTGATTGCGAATTTACCGAACGTGGCACATGCGTGAGTTAACACTGTATGAAATACCCGCAACCTCACACCAAATTTCAGGCCGTGTAGATAGGCAAGCATATATACAAATCATTTAGTAAGCAGAAATCTGAAATTAACCTTAACATATTAAGTTAGAGGAAGATGCGACTGAATTGATGCTTGAAGAATGCACTTCCAGCAGCCATGACAAACAGTTGGCGGTTAAAGTTTTCTATGCTCAATTTCATTTGATGAAAGTCACGAGACCTATTACTCTCTATCCAATCCACGTTGATGGATAAAAATTAAATTAAAATAAGCATGTAACGACCACAAACAGAGGAAAATAGCAGAGTAAAAGTACCGATACATCACTTAAAATGTACTCAAGTAAAAGTACACAATTTTTAAACTACTCAAAGTACAATTACTGATAAAAACTACTTAATTACTGTAACGTGAGTATTTGTAATTCGTTACTTCACACCCCTGTTGGCCACAGACATCGAGGCTGTCTCATTTAAGTCATGTTTAAGAAAAGTAGTCATGAGACCTCCTCAATGACATATGCGGCTAACAAATGTGACCACCAGAGGACGCAGCCTCGGAAATGAGATGCAGTGCATGACCCACTTACTGTAATGTTGCCTACATGCAAATGTTGCTTTTGTACTCCTGCAGTTAATTCAGGAAGTGCAGTGCCATGTTGTCCGGGATGCACAAATTCAGGAGAAGAAACAGAACCATGCAGAGTGGCAGGAGGAAGAGAAGAGACTGGATGCCATGATGGAGGTGGATTGTCGCCGGGCCTTAGAAACCCGGGAACAAATTGAACAGCTACTAAAGCAGCAAAGGATTAAGTAAGGATGTTAACTCTCTGTATTCTGTATACTATACAATGCTCTGTATACAATACAATGCACTGTTCTCTGTGGTTAATGGGTGGGTGTTCTTAAAGTGGGAAGTTGTGCATCCTGGATCAGATTCAGATGTGTCTGGAGGAGAAAATGCTACAGAATGAGTTGAAGGAGCAGGAGGGTCAGCAGTTGTTGGAAACCATGGAGAGGATGCAGATGGAGGAGCTCAAGGTACATGCAATGAATCTCTAGATCAGTTGAAATTATAAATAGTCTACTAACTCACATAGATAAGTATGTGTGAGTTCATCTCTGTGTGTGATATTATCACAGGCCATTGAAAGAAAGAAGGAGGAGCAGAGGAATTTGCTTCAAGAGATTCAGAAGATAAATGAAGAGAATTTGCTTGCTAAAGAGCAGAAAAAGGAAGAAGAGAAATTAGCAGATCTGCGAGCTGTAGAGTATACACGTAAGAAATTGGTAAGAAAAGTCTTTAATGGCTTTCTCACTTCACATCTTGCTTCTTTCGTCACCCACCACTGTAATGTTAAAGGGGTCATGATGCTGCAAAAAAGAACATTATTTTTTGTATTTGGTGTAATGAAATGTGATTATGCGGTTTAAGGTTAAAAAAACACATTATTTTCCACATACTGTACATTATTGTTTCTCCTCTATGCCCCGCCTTTCTGAAACACGTAAATTTTTACAAAGCTCATCGGTCTGAAAAAGCGAGGTGTGCTGTGATTGGCCAGCTATCCAGTGTGTTGTGATTGGCCGAATTCCTCAAGCGTGTGACAGAAATGTTACATCCCTTACCATATTGTGATGCTTACGGCAACCACATGTGATGACCCCAGGCTGGACTCCGCTTCGTCCACGGTGAAAGCCGTTCCAGCGATCGACAGAGCAAAGTTGTTGTATTTCCTCAGCGACCAGCACGGGTCAGCTCTAGGCATGACGAAGCAGATATCATCCTCTTTTGGAAGGCCAAACAAAGTAGTTTCACTTTCACAACGAAGCACACAGCACCTTCACGACACGGGAGCAGCGGCAACAATACTACAGCGAGAATAATTTATGCCTTCTTTCTTTGCGTGAACATTTGGGCAGCGTTATGCAAATCTTCCCAGATAGTGACATAAGGTGCGCTCGACTTGAAGCTCCGCTACAGACGGCAGTCAATGAGAGTAGCCGCTTGCAGTCGGGGGCGGAGGTGAAAACGGAGCCGTCAAGCCGGACACTTTCTGCTCCCGTTAGTGATGCTCCCGCTGTGTTTGCATTCTCTATCACAGATGAAGTGAATTAAATGCAATATTTGTCAAATACACAGACGTTTCAGAAACGTTTCCATGAGCAACAGAAACACTTTTTATATACTGCTTAATACAGCGCCATCTGTTCAAGAATCTCATCGGTCTGAAAAAGCGAGGTGTGCTGTGATTGGCCAGCTATCCAGTGTGTTGTGATTGGCCGAATTCCTCAAGCGTGTGACAGAAATGTTACATCCCTTACCATATTGTGATGCTTACGGCAACCACATGTGATGACCCCAGGCTGGACTCCGCTTCGTCCACGGTGAAAGCCGTTCCAGCGATCGACAGAGCAAAGTTGTTGTATTTCCTCAGCGACCAGCACGGGTCAGCTCTAGGCATGACGAAGCAGATATCATCCTCTTTTGGAAGGCCAAACAAAGTAGTTTCACTTTCACAACGAAGCACACAGCACCTTCACGACACGGGAGCAGCGGCAACAATACTACAGCGAGAATAATTTATGCCTTCTTTCTTTGCGTGAACATTTGGGCAGCGTTATGCAAATCTTCCCAGATAGTGACATAAGGTGCGCTCGACTTGAAGCTCCGCTACAGACGGCAGTCAATGAGAGTAGCCGCTTGCAGTCGGGGGCGGAGGTGAAAACGGAGCCGTCAAGCCGGACACTTTCTGCTCCCGTTAGTGATGCTCCCGCTGTGTTTGCATTCTCTATCACAGATGAAGTGAATTAAATGCAATATTTGTCAAATACACAGACGTTTCAGAAACGTTTCCATGAGCAACAGAAACACTTTTTATATACTGCTTAATACAGCGCCATCTGTTCAAGAATAAAGTTCAACGTAAATATATACTATTTAAATACTAATAAAGTGGGGGTATATATGCTTTCATGATAAACGTGACTAAATATAACATTGTGACTACAGTAAAAAAGCTTTTAATGTTCTAAAAACTCAGATTTATGAGTAGTATGACCCCTTTAAACTAGGCCTTTAAAATCAGAGGCAGACTCTAGTTTTTAAATATTTTTTTTTAAATAAGTTTCTTTATAAAACACACAACAGACAATGAAAAAATATGAAAAATAACAGATACAGAATACAAAAAAAACAAACAAGCAAAGATTTACACGCGATTATGTAGGCCTATAGTTTATGTGTGAGGTTGTGTTGTGTGTGTGTGTGCTTATCTGAATATAATTACACTGTATATGTAAAGAAGGGTGAGAGAAGAAAAGAGAAGAGGGGAAAAAGTGACTTTGGCCCATCCATCCAAGCTGTCCAGCTGCAAGAGCCCCCGGTTCCCACATCTATCAAACATCTAAATAAATAACACAAGAAGAGAGAGAAGATATATTTATCTTCTGAAATGATGAACACATGTGAACGTATATGGACTTGTGGACATAAGTTGTAAATGTCCCAAAACCATATTTCAGCATGTGATTTTAACATTTAACTGCCCATGTGAAATCCATGTTTTTTTTTTTTTGCTGTAAGGAAATGAGTATATATATATATATATATATATATATATTAGGGATGGGAAGATTCCCCGATTTGCTCGGTGCATCTGTAAAAAAAGTTAACGATGCGATGCATCGGTTTAAAAAGTGTGCATCGGCTACAAGTTGTCATTTTTATCGCGATGCATCGTTTCTAACATTTGCATCGGTAAAAAACTATTTATTTTTATATAATTACTAGTGGATGCGCTATACTTTTATTATTTAGAAAGTGACCAATAATCTGTCACCGATATTTTATATGTAGATTGATTTCTCCTCTCTAAACTATTTCTCAAGCGTGTCTCTCATCACCACTGCTGCTGCGTGAATATGATGCATCACAACACTACGGAGACGGTAGACCAGAGGAAAAACTGGGATTAAAGTCCAAAACCTGACTTGAAATAACCTAACAAATCAATCGGGGCTAAAGCGGTTCCATTAAAGACTAATTAAATTCACGCACTCTCACTAATTTGTGCACGTTTATTCTTAAACAGACCTTAATGTCAATCATGGATCAAATCGATCCACCATGACAAACAGCGAATATATCTGTGCTGTTTAATGCATTTGAGACGTTGTTTTCCTCTTCCTGCTGGAAAATGAAATCAGCATCTTCAAAAAGCTGCTCAGCAGAAGGAAGCATAAAAGGCTCCAAAATTTCTTGGTAAACGGGTGCAGTGACGTTGGTTTTCAAAAAACACAATGGACCAACACCCGCAGATGACATTGCACCCCAAATCATCACAGACTGTGGAAACTTAACACTGGACTTCAAGCAACTTGGGCTATGAGCTTCTCCACCCTTCCTCCAGACTCTAGGACCTTGGTTTCCAAATGAAATACAAAACTTGCTCTCATCTGAAAAGAGGACTTTGGACCACTGGGCAACAGTCCAGTTCTTCTTCTCCTTAGCCCAGGTAAGACGCCTCTGACGTTGTCTGTGGTTCAGGAGTGGCTTAACAAGAGGAATACGACAACTGTAGCCAAATTCCTTGACATGTCTGTGTGTGGTGGCTCTTGATGATTTGACCCCAGCCTCAGTCCATTCCTTGTGAAGTTTACTCAAATTCTTGAATCGATTTTGCCTGACAATCCTCATAAGGCTGCGGTTTTCTCGGTTGGTTGTGCATCTTTTTCTTCCACACTTTTTCCTTCCACTCAACTTTCTGTTAACATGCTTGGATACAGCACTCTGTGAAGAGCCAGCTTCTTTGGCAATGAATGTTTGTGGCTTACCCTCCTTGTGAAGGGTGTCAATGATTGTCTTCTGGACAACTGTCAGATCAGCAGTCTTCCCCATGATTGTGTAGCCTAGTGAACCAAACTGAGAGACCATTTTGACACAGCAGGAGAGGGGCAAAAATGGGATAGGCCTATAACTCTCAAACTAGATGTTTTTAATTAAAGGGGTCATATGATGCTGCTAAAAAAACATTATTTTGTGTATTTGGTGTAATGAAATGTTTATGCGGTTTAGGGTTCAAAAACACATTATTTTCCACAAGCGTGTGACGGAAATGTTACACCCCTTGCCATATCGTGGTGCCCTGTCCGGCCGGAACGGCGAGACAAAAACATGAAAACCCATTATAAACGAGGCAAACGAGTGCGGCCGGCGGATTCGACGAAGGAACGTCCGGCGGGCTTGCGGCAACCACATGTGACGACCCCGGGCTGGACTCCACTTCGTCCACAGTAAAAGCTGATCCAGCGATCGACAGCGCGAAGTTGATGCATTTCCTCAGCAACCAGCACGGATCAGCTCCAGGCATGACGAAGCGGATATCGTCCTCTTTTGGAAGGCCAACCAAAGTAGTTTCGCTTTCGTGATGTAGACATGTGGGGGCATGTTAGAATGAGCCGTTTTAGGTAGGCGTAGTTGTCTCAACTTTTATAAAGAAAATCTCTTTGGATTTGAGACTTTAGTCTTTGCAACTTTACAGATCTTCTTTATGCACCAAGAGCTTGTAACACTCCAAAGAGAAAGGAAAAATTGAAATCGCATCATATGACGAGCCCTCTACGAACACTTTGGCAATTGAATCACCATTGGCTGGTAAATTTTTTTAGTTTACTCACCAGACTGATGAGATATATATACAGTGGGGAAAAAAAGTATTTAGTCAGCCACCAATTAGACAAGGCAGGTTGGATCCATGCTTTCATGTTCTTTATGCCAAATTCTGACCCTACCATCTGAATGTCGCAGCAGAAATCGAGACTCATCAGACCAGGCAACGTTTTTCCAATCTTCTATTGTCCAATTTTGGTGAGCTTGTGCGAATTGTAGCCTACGTTTCCTGTTCTTAGCTGACAGGAGCGGCACCCAGTGTGGTCTTCTGCTGCTGTAGCCCATCTGCTTCAGGGTTCGACGTGTTGTGCATTCAGAGATCGTATTCTGCATACCTTGGTTGTAACGAGTGGTTTTTTGAGTTACTGTTGCCTTTCTATCATCTCTAACCAGTCTGCCCATTCTCCTCTGACCTCTGACATCAACCAGGCATTTTCGTCCACACAACTGCCGCTCACTGGATATTTTTTCTTTTTCGGACCATTCTCTGTAAACCCTAGAGATGATTGTGTGTGAAAATCCCAGTAGATAAGCAGTTTTTGAAATACTCAGACCAGCCCATCTGGCACCAACAACCATTCCACATTCAAAGTCACTTAAATCCCCTTTCTTCCCCATT